ATACAATTTAAAGCTCAGCGCACAAATGACACTCGATCACTTTCGATGAATTTGTGAACTACTTATTGTTCACAACTATTGCACTATTGTTCACAAGTTTGTGCATTTATCGATATTGTTATAATTTTGAACAAGTTGAGTTCTTTTTAAGATGATGTTATTGTGAGATCACAAAAATCACAAAATTGCTAAAAATTGCATAATTTAAAAAAAAAAAAAGCTATATTTGTGGCTAATAGCAATTTAAAAAAAAAAATTGCAAACTCATATTCAAAAATGCTAGATCTAGCAACTTAATGGCTAAAATGGCAGCACTGAGTCTATGTGTTCTCTGGTTAGTGGTGGAGGTAACATTTTTACAAAACATCCAACAAAAATATCGATATCAGTTTATTTAAAACATCGATGTATCGATGTTGCGCCCAGCACTATTGCTCTAGTACGCATAATCATAGTTCGGGATAGTTTATTTACGTTGCAATATTTTTTTTTTTGGTTAATATGTCCTCGGAACTAATAGCAACAGTTTTTGTTGCGATATCATTAAGGTCTATCGTATCAATGAGCTCCTACTCAGGATTTAACAAGCCGCCGATGTTTGGTGATTATGAAGCTCAGCGACACTGGCAGGAAGTTACATTTAATTTAGAAGTAAAATTGTGGTATACTAATAGTACGCGCAATGACCTACTGTATTGGGGATTAGATTATCCACCCCTTACAGCATATCACAGTTATTTACTTGGCCATGTAGCAGAGAAACTTAATCACAGCTATGTTGAATTATACAAGAGCAGAGGTCTTGAATCAAAGGAGCACAAGAGCTATATGCGCTTTACAGTTTTAGCAGCGGACGCTTTCATTTTTATTCCTGCTATATTGGTTTTGTCTATTTTTATGGATCGCACTTTTAAAAAAAACTTGAGTCAACAAATGCAACTACTCTTCGCAATATATCCAGGCCAAATATTAATCGACAATGGACACTTTCAGTACAATAACATATCCCTTGGACTCGCATCTGTAGCTGTCGCTGCTTTGCTGTGTGATCAAAATTACTTTGCAGCTTTTACCTTTACGTTGGCTTTGAATTATAAACAAATGGAATTATACCATGCCTTGCCGTTCTTTGCTTACCTCCTGAGCACATCTCTATTTGAAAAAAGGTATATTATTAGAATTAAGAAATCATTTTATACCCTGCATCCATTGAAAATGTGGAATTAGGGTATTATTGACTAACCAGACGACATACAGTATGTCCATTAATTGTTTGCAAAACAAAAAAAGTCGTACAAATTCAACTTTAACATCATATTTAATTAGGAAAGGCACTTTTTCTCAGATTTTTTTTTTTTTACATTACTTTAGTTTCATATATTCTTAAAGAAAATAAATAACAAAAATAATAAGAAAAGCAACAAAAACA